CATTCAGATGAGATGAATCCCAACGTATGTAAAAATTTTGGTATGGAAACACGCATCTGAAGACCAACAACCGAGGAAAGGGCAAACAATGTTGAATGCTCTTCAAGGCGCGGTAGGCGTTAGCACCATCAGTACTCGCACATCAGGCACAGAGTATCTGCCATACTAGGTCTGGTGTGAGATTAAATGACAAGTGTACACCTAGCGCCTTGTGTCATGCATACAAGTGTAATAAGTACGCAGAGATCCCACAATGGCAAGCAAATACAAGTTACCGACTGTGACCTTGGGATATCCCAGTCTAGTATCATCCTTGCCGGATTGAGGCAAGCGGATCCGCCGATAGGGGATGATCATTGATTGGCGGACCAAAAAGTCGACGTCACAACCTTTTACATGTAGGGATGAAAATATGGCGAGGGAATATTCAACAGCAACATGCTTCTGCTTCTTCTCATTCCACTCAGCTACTCCGCGCAGTCACTCGCATCAGGAAATGACATCACTCCACACAGCATTGCAGAAGTTTCCGCTGTCATTGATTCCCAAATGATAATGCGTAATAGCTCATTCCTGACTGCGAAGTACGGCTTTCTTAATTGGGACCAAAATGTCCTTCCAAAAATGTTGAACTAATCGGGAAGTTCACAAGTTTTGGAAATTGAAAGCCGGAAAATTACGGCAATTTTTCCCTTCAGATATGATTTGAAATGTACCCAGATTTATAGGTAGACCTGATGACGTTAGTTCGTGGCGACGTTTGTGGTTTTGTTAAGGCTGGAAAGAAATTTCATTTTGTGAGCCCAGCGAACCAATATTAAAAAGCCGATAGACACTGTAAACTTTCGCTCTCGTTGTCACCCCTAGGTAGTTTACAAGATGTTTCAAGCCGCGGGAGAATGCCATCAAACTTCAGTAATGACCTGTTTTTAAAACATAACAATAAAAGTGTATGTTTATGGACTAGCGGAGATTGAAGATGAAAAACCACACAGACTTGAATGAAGACCGCCATCTTGAAACGTAGGTTAATTGTGCGTGATCTATGGACATCAACTAACACCCAGTTGCTAAATGCGTTTTTCTTCCGGGACTCTCTGTGGAACTTTGATACGACATGCAAACATTGCGAACGTAGCCGCCTACCGATCCCCAATTTAAGGCTCAGCGAACGCCTGCTCCCATAAGTCTCAACAGTAATGTGGGCAGGAACTGGCAGCTGCTTTCCTGCGAATTTTTATCCAATTTTAATGGGGATCATTCGGCACTTTTGTCAACAACGCACTAATGTTTGTCCTTTTCAGAAAAGGAGATATGCAAGTTTTGCCCAACGCTACCCACGTTTGTGACATTTTGATGTAAATATGGGATTACCTACATCATGCTTATGTAGGAGGATGGATCGTTGATTTGCTCGCTTTCCAAATTATCTGCGTCTGGACTCACGCGGGCTACGCTAGGCCATGAGCCATTGCTTTGACGTGACTTCGGAATTGTGAGCTAACCAGCCAACAGAAGGTAGATTACGGGGTTATACTTTATGACAGGTTAAAGAACCAATATAAATTTGAATGTTGATCCAGGCTTTCGCATTTATGCTGCAAAAATTTGAGTTAATTGTGGTAACACACGCTCCTAGGATACGATTCCGTCGAAATTGTACTCGCTTTAGAGAAGAAAACTCTAAAATGCCACTGATCATCTTACAACACAGATAATGCGGAAGATAAATTAGCAAACTACAACCGTACGCTCAACTAAAGTGGCAACTACCGTTTCGCAAGAGGCACTTTATTGTATCTTGTAAACAAATTGATAACCGCAGTGAATAGCCACCTGACTCACAGATCTACAAACAGAGACCGCATTGTTAGCAGGTGCGCCAATTCGTACCATGCTGCGTGAACGAGTTCGCAGAACCAATGTGCTCAGGGTATCTCAGAATGACAAAGTGGAACCAAAAAAACTGACTGTCGACACCGTTCATAATTGCCGCAGTTGTGTCCTGCTGATTCGTACCATGCTGCGTGAACGAGTTCGCAGAACCAATGTGCTTAGGGTTACTACAGGACGACAAAATGACTCTCAGAAAACCTGACTTTTAACGTCGTCCCCAACAGCTGCTTTTATGTCCGATTGGAGAACACTCGCACTGACATTGGTTGCTTGTTACTGACAACTTACTTTCTTCTAAGCTGCGCGTCATAGCACACTGTTAGTGTGGCCAAATGTGACGCCACTATCTAAGGAGAAGTATGGCCGAAACTGGTAAAATTTAGGCAATGCATGCGCATTATTTTGTTTTATGCGGATTACTTTATTCCGTCCATGCGACCGAGAATGTCCTGTGGTTAGTTACATTTATGGTTAGGTTTACTTTATGCTTAACTTGAAGACATTCAGGAGCTTCCAGGTGGGTACCTCGAGTGCAAAGCCTACATACACGCATTTGTGCTCAAACATACATTATCAAGAATCGCTCAAAATATCATCCTCACCGATTAGATCAGTACAGAAAATGATGCCATGTAACGAAGAGAAGTTGCTTTTAAACATACTTCTTGTTTATCATAGCAGTATTCTGTTGCCATATATAGGATTCTGTTTCCAACCATTATCACTATAAGTGATGTTAGTGTGACGGTGTATATTACTGATGAGTCATCTGAGAAGTGTTTTCGCGTAACTCCGATTCGCGTCTTTTTGGAAAGAGAAATCTATTACAGAATTGTATATTGGCTTCGTAGCATTTTCTTGCATTTGAGTAACATTGAATGAATATCCAGCAAAGTTCAGGAAGACGCGTTCAAGGTGAAGACGGATATTTAGTTTTGTTAACAGGATGCATATTAGGGTTTTGCTCCCCTCTCCAAGAGTCTGTAACCGTTTCTCTGATAAACAACTGTGCGCGTAAGCCTCCTTCCTTTCTGCATCTTCACCGATTAGGTTTGTACAGAAAATGATGGCATGTAAGAAAGAGAATTTGCTTCAAAAATTGCTTCTTGTTTGTTATAGTGGTATTCACGAATAGATTTAAATGTCGAATTCGCTTCAAATAATTCGTCCCTACAGATGTTTTTCAGCAATGATAATGTGTAAGTCCATGGAAACGCATTGCGCTGATTAAATACGTTTTCCTTTGACTTGATACCAGTTTAGAAAATGAATCATTAATTGTAGTTTTCTAGTTTCTTTTAGAAAATGTTTGCCTACATTGATGAAATTTTGGGGTAAAGCTCGAGCGCTACCTCCGTTCGTGTTGCCGAACCATAACGGAGAATATTTTCAGGTGAGAGAATATCCATTTTGAAGAAAAAAACACTGCTAGAGTGGTTACAAACTTTGCTGTGCGTTGTGATATAGACGTTTATAGCACCGGTGCATGGTTTCAGAATGTTTGAGCAGGATCTGATCGGAAGCATCTCTTAAATATTGTTCCAGCCTTATATATAAGTATCGACATTAGAGTCACAAACGCAAAGCCCTAAGATAGACAAAAATTGATAACTATTTTATATTTTCTGTTTTTCCAAGTAGAGGCTACCCAAGTGCATGGGAAGTGACATCACACAGTCCATTAATGAGGTCTACATTCAAAATCTGCCGGGTATGGTTAGAGACACCACAAGGACCCAGAAAAACAAGTGCCCAAAAAACGCTGTAACATTTGACGCAAACTTTCCCCAGTTTATTTTTGCACTCCGATTTCAGGTTGTCGGTCAGCAATCTAGGCTCAATTAATAGGGGCGCGCAGCCAGAGAACGGCATGTATGACGAGTATACGGACAGCTTCCGGATGATCTCTCTGATGACCTGATTGATCCCATTGTCTTCGGGCAACACGTTCGAATGTGTTTCTGTATGTTTCAAGTTTGGTTCCTTAGGTTATTTAACGGAGTGACGAACATTAATGTATTCGGGATCTCGTCATCTGGTCAGAACATATTTAATAGTTAAAATAGGAGCAAAAAATGAAATACGCTGCAAAGATTGGCTGGCAAAACGTAGAAGCAGGAAGGATTGGTAGTCTGCGTGCCTCAAACCCCATATCGCATTTTGTTGGATGCCGTGAAACAGTTAAGAGGACTGTTGAGAGACATTCGGTAGGTTGAAACGTGCCCCGTGATCAAAGCCGACTCATTGTTCCTAAGAAACTTTTTGATGGCACAGTAAGAGGTTTGCAGGCGTATAGCCTCTCCTTCGATTGTAGTCAAGCAACGCGGTTGAAAGGATAATATTTGGCACGGTAAACGACTTGAAATCATTCAATTGGAATGACCACGTGCCCAGTCTCAATTAGGTGCGCCGTAATTGTGCCCCTGACTAAACTGTTGAGGTTAACGGTATTCCGGTGAGAGAGGTGCTCGTGTATTCTCTTGGGAAGTTGTCGTGTCGTGCGCCCAACCTACTCCGCCGAACCTTATACGTGCTGAGGACCGACAACAAGAAGCTGGAATGCGATGCATACCGACAAGTAGACGCCACGATCAGCCACAATGGATTAGCCGAAAATACTTCGATTTGAACGATATGTCTTCTCTGAAGTGGATTTCCCAGCGAATGCGGCCAAAGTGTTATCAGGAGAGGCTGTGCATATTTAGATACTCAAACAAACAATTGCAGACTCATTGGAAACTCTCATTTTCCGTGAAGTTACATCTTTGCCCAAGCAGAACAGCTAGTCTGGTCAAAGCTGTTGTAGAAAGTGAGCACGCCGGCAGCTAATTCTAACCACTGAACTATTAGAAGAATAGATTGTTGAATAAATCTGCAAACGAATGTCTAAATGCGCATATATACGAGAAATCAAGCTGACAAATAAAGTAAATACTAAATCACTCAATTGATCAATTAGTTTGTTCTGTAACAAAACCATGTACGTCATGTGTTTTCGAACAATAACCTAGTGAATCACAATTCATTGCTACTCTTCCAACCTCATATTTCGTCACTAATTTTCGTACTAATTTCGCGCGTTTATAAAAAACAACAATATTTCAGAAATTTACTCGTATGTTTTCAAAAGTTACTATCTGAGTTTGAATGCCGCAATTTGAAAGAGCATTCTTTTAGCAAGAACACAGAAGACTCCTTCTACAAATTTGCTGCTAGCCCTGAAGCTTGGAGCAGCAGCATCATGGTTAATGGGTGATAGAATTTAATTCTTTCCAATAAGTACAGCTGCATCACGTTGCATACCCACATGGAGCGATGCGAAATTACTGTAAACCCAGAAGTAGTTTGGATATATCAAAGGTCCGTTGACGTGTGGAATTCGTGGCGGAAATTCAGCGAAAGACCACTGCGATTTTTTGATTCTCAGCCGGTGAGTCCATGTATTTCTTTTGAAATCAACTTGAAACCACAATGTAACATCTGCAGTTATATCTATCAGTGATGAAGAATTACGCGTGTAAAACGTACGGCTATCATGGATGCTTAAACCAGAGCCAAAAGAACTGTGCTTTCCTTCAAGTTACGTGTTTACATAATGTAAAAGTTAACAGTAGTTTTGCACTCGAAACGTCGCAATAGTTTTGTTGAGGTCTGCAAACAATGACTGCACGACATTTGTGTGAAGTTTAACTTTTTCCTTCTAGTTCACTCCTTCGAATTTTTGATGGATTCCATGAGGATTACATAGATTGAAACGTATTCTTAAAACGAATCTAGGTCAGCTAATTGGCTGACAACATCCGGAGGCTGCTCAACTATAAAATGTGTTGATAATGTGGTTTTATCCAGAGTGTAGACATAATTGGATTTTCGCTGTTTCCGTGTGAATAACTGGCCAGGGTGATGCCTTAATCTTAACTGACAAGGCTTAGCAATGAAACTTCTATCGAATTCCTAAAATCAAAGTATGTTATAGAATTTATGAGTGGACACTTTTCTTATATGCTAATGGAGGACTGACGCTACAGCAACCGCTGGCGGAGCGCCCCAATAATTCAAATTTATAGACAAGGCTTAGCAATGAATCTTCTATCGAATTCCTAAAATCAAAGTATGTTATAGAATTTATGAGTGGACACTTTTCTTATATGCTAATGGAGGACTGACGCTACAGCAACCGCTGGCGGAGCGCCCCAATAATTCAAATTTATTAAAACATAGTATCCCCCCAAAATTCGTGCACCTCCGGGCTTATACAAATTTTTGCTTTCAAAGAGGGCGTGATTTATTTGAGAATGCGCACGATTTTGCCCGCATTTTATGGCATGGTTTGTAAAGATAAGATGCACATGTTAGTAATTAGACCTACCGAGTCCTTAGAGCAAACAATGATAAGGAAGAACAGCGAAAACCGTGGAGTATTTACGCCTGCTTACCAAAGCAACATACTGCAACAGACTACTGTTTGATGTTCACTTCTTTAAAATGGCGTCATCCTGCGCCGGTTTCCTGGCAAATCTCTCCTTCTTTAGCTTGTCGGAGGATATTCCAAAACATACTGGAGCAAATTCCATATACGGACCAAATGGACGCAAATGTTTCTGATTCATGTCTTCATCTGCTACGGTTACAGAATAGGGCTCCATATTATAACACTATTTCAGATGTCCCTCTAATTGAATGCTTCTCAGGACAGCTTTCGAAATGAAGTACATCCAATGTTTTCGCCAGGGTGTAGGGCCACGTAACATGTGCACGAAGTGTGTGACATAATGGAGCAAAAACTTGTCCCTACGACAGCAGAACCCATATACTTCCCTTCGGGCTTCAAAGTTTGTGCTTTTATACTATCGCGAGATTCGTAAATCATTACAAGTTATTTCCGCTGAGTTCCGTTTTTCTGTAAGAAAAAACTCGGTAACGGTGGTTTTCTCAACAGCGTCTAATAGAAAAGTCAAATGTACACAATGGCACCTTATTCGGCTAGAACGAAGTGAGCTTATGATTACTTTAGTAGTGTGTGCACGGAACCCGCTACTTCGCACACTGAGCACCTCGCGTTCTGACTGTTTTACCTGGTTCGGATTAACTTTATGCTGACATAGCCTGAAGCATAGAATTTCGCAAATTGTATTGTTGTTTCTGTTTAATAAAGCCATTCCAAGACGGTGCTTCACAAAGGAAACTTCAACATAATTCGTGCAGACCACTTGAAAGCCCCCAACGAATTTTTGCGTACATCAAAAGCCCATCTTATTTGGGGCTTTGAACGCTTGTTCATTTGTGTTATAAAATAGCAAAACCGACGGATCCCTGGTTACAGCATCCGAGCCAAGAAATCCACCTCCAAATCGGTTTCCTCTTTGTAGTGTTTATTTGCGAGAACTAGGCCAAACTGATGAAGAGCAAGTATTCTTGTGCTGCCTAAAATCATTCATGCTCTAGATTACCAACTTTTGACTACTAGCTTATACGCGTGCAAAAACCGTTTGCGTCCGCACCGCTAGTCTGCACTCAAGGCGCAATTAATTCCTCGGGAATGGAATAACAAAACGTCAGGCTAATGAAGCAATTCTACCCTACTATAATTTCAATATATTCCAAACAATTAAAAATATAGGTTTTCGTGAATAGCACCCTTGAAAAATATTTATTACTTTAACTAAATTGAATCAAATGAGAACAATTGTGTTAATGATTATATATATATGTATGTTTATTTATATAAATATTTAATTAATATATATAATCAATATAAATATATAAACATATATACAAGCAAATAATATTAAAATTAATAATATTTATATTTGTATTTATACAAATAATAATAAAGACATGACTGTTATATATCTAATTATTATACATATAATCATTATACATATAGATTATTATCAATATTACTATTACCATTATATTAAGTTTAAGAGTTTTTTAAGTTTACGCTTGCTTTTCAGGAAATTATACATGTATATTATATGAATATGAATATATAATTATTACGTAAGTAATATATGTATTAAGATAAAGATTTGTATAACATTTAACATGCTTTTAAATATGTGCGTGCTGTTCAGGAAAATACTGGTGGTTTAAATCCGCTGCGATGTCTTGCAAATACATAGGGGTATTATGATTTATTACCTCTGCGTCCTTACATTGTAATGCAATATTTTCACAATGCAGGCGGAATTAACACTGACGAATATGGTTATTCTTGTACGGGCCACATATGATGGATTCGAGAAATGCCACTGTCAATGTGTTGTTCAAAAATCTGCCAACAACTGTTGTCCAACCTTCCAGTGGTTCCCAAGAATAGAATATTCCACAGTTCAGCTATATTGTCTTCTCATGGCAAAACGACGAGACTTTTAGGCCGTGGACATCGAGTCAAAAACTCGTGACGAATAGTTTACACAAAAAAGATCAACCACACATTTTGTTTGCAAATCAAAGTTTAGTTTGCTCGTAACTCCAAACAAAGTAAGCTCCATCGTCGAAAATCCTCTATATTCCACATACCAGTTGATTATTTTGACAGTAATTATGGATTAGTTCATGTGACATTCGTGTATCAAACTTTGCTCTCTGTTGCTCACAGTCGCAGATTCGCTATGATGTGCTCCCCAACAAACTCCAAAACGAGCTTCCTTCTGGAGTGAATTTGATGATTATCAGCTGAGTGCAACGAATGTGAGACGGAGGTCCGGGTTAAGAACGGAACCCTTCATTTTCCCCGAGGTCTCACATTGTTGGAAATGCGATATATGGTGATCCAAAGAGACATATAAACCAGATGAAACCACTGCGAATGCCGTGAGGTTGACCAAGAATCTGTGTGGCTGAAGACAATGGAGACAAACAGAAGACAAGTGTCCAAACAAATGGATCTCTCATAAAAATGTGGCTCGCCTCATTTTTGCTCAGGCAGCCAGCGCACTCAGAATTGCGCAGGATCTTGTTGTACTAAATTTCGGTAGCTAAAACAACGAAGAACTTTCATGTTTCAAAACAAATAGCAACTATGGCACTTTCCAAGAGGATGCCGGAAACTCGTGTAAATTACTGAGTAACTGTACCAATGACCATCGGGCAATGAGCACAGCACTGCACGAAATGCGGCTTCAATGTATTTACAGGAAAACGGAAACAGCTGACTACTTTCGTGAGGGAAGCAGCTGGTGAAATACGTGACTGGTGGGCTGGTAAGTATGGCATTTCGGTGCACATCATAAAAGCGATCAACAAATGCATCCCCCCATATTCCCGCGCATCTTTTGTTAATGGCAAATAATGACCAAGTGATTGAGAAATGAGTGTAACCGTAGTTAAAAAGCGTTCCGCCTGACAAACAGATGTTTGATGCTGTTGGTGGTAGAGTTGCAGGTTTCATGAAGAATCTCGTATGCAAAACGCATGCATGGGGAGATTCGCCATTCTGTATATTCACATAACGTATTTATTAATGGCACCGCGCTGAAGCAGTGTTGCGTAAGCCCTGTACAAGCTTGCAATGTTTGGTGACGCGGATTCACAAAGATTACCGATGGTAGTCTCAGCGCGCCATTTGAAGAAATCTGAACAATACAAAGATGTGCGCGAAACGGTTAAGATGAATCTGACCTTGACCCATGTGACCAATGTCTATTACTCGGATTTACAGCTTATGGAAGCCAACACAATGAATGAATGCTATTGTGGAATCAATGACAGCTTGATGGTGAACACAGGTCGCAAATGACAGTGAAATCAACCTTATATCAGGCGGCGATTCTGTCTTCAGTTAGCAGATTTTTGATCTCTGTGCGCAGGGGGACGGATTGTTGAAGAAGACAGGAAATATAGGAATTTGTTGAATTTGTTGTTCAAAGCAAAATAGAACTCTAAGTGGACGACGAAAGGCGGTTAGTTTGTGGACCTGTTTGTGTGGTGGGTAAACCGTTGGGCATTTTCGTTCAAAGGACCCGGATGGCAAACCAAACGGGATTTTCATAGGTTCGGCGGCGATAATTACGTAGGCGGCAATCTCAGCAGACAGACAATAGCATGGCAGACGAGCTCTAAGCGCATACAATAATCAAAGTGTGTTTCATTCTTGTTGATGTGAGGTGATGAAGCACAACCTGTCTCATTAATGAGAATTCTTTAGTGTGCCCACCCTATGTGTTCGTGATGCCCAAAAAGGCCCTTCTTAGCGGCAAACCATAATTCCGATCAGAACCGTCTGTCCTGTATACTAACTGCGATATACAATTCAATCATAATCTCACCATTTATAAAACGGAAAACACTGTTGCTGTTTTGGACTGTTCACAAGTTCAGCAGTTACAAAAGGCTTACATGAAAGTCACGAGGATCTGTTGCTCAGTCAACAAATCAAGAAACCCGCTGGACAACAGTGAAGTTACATATAAGGAAGCAAAATAAAATAACCCATTGTTCGGAAAGTTTGTCGAAAACGAGCCACATGAATGAAGCTCAGTCCGACGAAATACTCGTCAGTTATCTGTCGATGTCCTTGTTCACCGCCCAAAAGAAGTAAGGCCATTTCGGTGTTTCCCAAAACAACATAGTTTGCTTAAGGCAGAGCTTTCTGCCTTGGCAGGGAATACTTGTACAGGACTACCGGTGTAGGGTGAATCTATTCCCATTTTGTAATGTTTTCCTCTTTGCACTAGGAGTGGATCGTCGCACCTCGACTTAATTATCGGGGCACTAAACAGAGATAGGCAACATCCGATGGAAAGTCGTCACGAACAACGAAAAATCGTTGCCGCCACTTAAACCGATATTTGAATAAAAACACTGAGATCTGTTTTTCAGTAAAAATGAATCGTATATCAGTTTGGTCATCGATAAAAATGTGGTACGAAATAACCGCCGAACTTTGCTTAAATTTCCAGAGGATTTGCGGAAAAAAGTTGGCGATATCATCATCGAACTGAACAATGATAAAATCAAAATGATTCTTCCCAAAAATTATAGTTTCCAAAATCTCATGCAGATGTGCTTGCTCGAGTCACACGTTTTGTATATTTTCCGCAAAAACGCTTTTGTGTCCGATAAACCTGACCTTCATGTTAAAATGTTCCTGTTATGGACACATGGAAAATTCCCTTGTAAAATTATACAATGGTTTTACTATCGCAACATGAAGCAGCTTGACGGAAATGAGATGTTAAAAATGCTATTTTGAAAATACTCAGCAAACCAAATGGTGTCCGAAGATGATGTGGCCGCTGGTGTGTTAACTATCTGTAAAAAAATTAACCCATTGATTTTGGAAGTCGACATAGTCGTCCATATTTTGCGTCCTGATGGCTGAAGGACGGGCAGCTTCCTTCATTTCGGTAGTCTAAATTTCAAATAGCTCCCCGATATAGTGCACTGGAAATTTAGATTCTGGAAGACGATGCTTGATGAATTGGTTGAACCTTGATAAGAAGCAGAATGAGACTCTCGGTTTAAAAAAAATCAAACTATCATAGTTTAATTTTTCGGGCGAATTTAGTCGAAATCGAATGATTTTCGACCACAAGGTCGTGCCGACCGTTCGTCCTTGTGAATGACATATCCTGAATACTACCTTCTTTGCAAATATGACCAGCTGGAATCTTGAGCATCATATGTGTAATGGTCGGAAATCAGACCGTAAAAAGGCAAGATTTGTCCACTTTCTTTGTTCCAGTCAGGCTTCGTAGAGAACAAAAACACCTTAATAGGCGTATGGTCCAAAAATTATCATGGCATGGGACTTGTTTCACCTACGGTATTTCCAAGCCTTCCGACATGCGGTGAATTCTGTTACAGAACAAAACACTGATTTAAAGCTATGCTCATGGTTCACGTAGTTCCTCACTTGGCGTCAGACGAACAAGCATGATGTCGTTTCCGGATAGTTAGAATTCCGCTTCCTCAGAAATGTATTTTAATCATTCTAATTCGAGGGAATCCTGTACGAGCCAAATACGAACATGTGTTCGGTGGTACACCGGGTAATTTAACTAAACAGTGATCCGCACTACGGAGAGCACAGTGGTGGACAACCATGGAACTAAATGAGGTATTCCCCGTACAACTCGCTACCCAGTGTGTTGGCAACGTGACCTTTATCCACGTGGCTACAGATGCGCCAATTGCGGCCGACTTTGAAGGCCAGTGACGTTCTTGTTTCCAGTTGTTATCCAAATTTTCCGCTTCAGCATATGAAGCTGCAGGCACTGGATACCAATTCTCCATATGTGCCTTCGTCACAAAAACCCTTTCGAATAAATCGTGGTTGTTTGGCGCCGAGCATTTAATAGTGAAGCATGTCAGCTGATGACCACGATGACGGCAAGGAGTGCTTGAGTCTTTCAACAAGGCAAACTGTCTTTCAGGTCATTATAATGTAGGTTATTTTGGTAGGTGTACCTGACTATTTCAACTTGGCGAAATTCATTCCTCAAGAAATTTCTGTCTGAAATCAGCGCAAAATATGGACTGTCAGAACCTCACTTAAAGGTTTTAACCTACTGTAGCGTCGAAAATGATTTTTCCCAACGCATAAGCTGAGAATTTATGATATCTAGTTGGAAACCGGATGCTACGGATGAAGCATACGAGTAGTATGTGGTTTTCTCGAAACTCCAAATTGATCTAATGGAAGGTAAGTATATTGCAGAATTTGCAGATCTGCTGTGCAGCATTCGGTTTTAATTGCGTGATTGTCAATGAATAGCCAAGAGAGTTCAGGAAGACGCGTTGTGGACAAAGATGGATATTCAATTTGCAAAAAGAAGGTGCATATGATAGTTTTGATTCTCTATTCAATAGTCTGTAAGTGTTTCGTTGGTGCTTTCTAACAAAAAGCTCCACGGCTAAAAGCTCTCCTCTTTCCACTGGTACTGTACCACTGTTTTGATGACCGCTCACATAGGCTGAGGTTATCTAATAGAAGTCGGAATTCGAGTTCGGACCCCCTAACCAACGTTTCACGCACACAACCAAATGTTAGCTTCTGTTTTAATGCAGTTAACGGCTACTGGCATGTTCGTAAAGATAACTCAACTTTGCTCAATTTCGGTTGTGTGCAACATAATGTGTGAGTATATGGACCAGTTTATTTTACCTTTTGGCGGTTATTCAAATTGGGAAGAGTTACAATGTTACATGACACGCATCTTCTACGGCGGCTGTTTTTGCATATAACTAATTTTGGTTGCAAAATTAAATTCACAATATGCGGTCTGGAACAGGCTCTCAGTAAATTTTAAATTACCCGCATTTTCGCACCATGATGAACGTATGCTTTCTAAGAAAGTAGTATTTATTCCGTAGGTTGCTTAGCTTGCGCTTTCTCACCTCAGCCCCCTTGGGTGAAGAACAAGTAGGGCACCCACCACATGCGCTCATTTCGCAGATACTGATATCAACCAGATTCAGAGCACCCACTGCAAATGTGAAACTGTGGGAGATACAGCGACTGTTTTAGAAGGATCATGAGATCATGGGAAGCATGGGTCGGTAGACCCACAGAGGAACGCTTCTCCATAAGAAGAATTACTATGGTTATGAAACCCGATTTACCTATCGATTTGCCGTGGTAGCCTATTTGGATTGGATGATTTCTGATTGATAATTTTGGCTTCAAAATTATACCCAACTGATTTAGCAATGGTTTTTGGGAGCACTTTATTCCCCACGATCATTTATTTTGTATGCTATCGCTTGTATATGTCTGTCCGTGAAGGGTAAAGCAGAATCTCCTCGACAAAAATGTGCCTAGTGATCGTGAGTGTATATGAATGAATTTTAGTTTAAGACCAGGTTAGAGATCGTGAAGGCTTCAGATTTGGGCGATTAAACTGCTGCCTCCAATTTGCTCCAAATGCCTGGAAAACATTATTTCGATTACACTCTTCTGTAATGCACTTGTATCTGCACCATTTCCAAGGTTACCTGTGTAGAAATGATGGACTTGACGCGAAGATAAAACAACCGTTATGTCCTGATGATAGTTCTACCGGTTCAAGAGGTCAGCTGGATTAGTGTGACTGAAAATTTGTTTGGTGTACAACGATTTGTCTTCAGAAATCGATCGCTTATCTACACCCCGATTGGCAGAAAGCTACTAGTATTCAGATTGCACAAAGTGATTACCCGAAGTAGTGCCCTTTTTATCCTCTTTTAGATATCTGAAACTATTTTCCAAAGTTTTGTGACACATGTCTCCTGACAGATTTGTGAACTTTCACGATTGAGTAAAAATGAATCGTATATCAGTTTGGTCATCGATAAAACTGTGGTACGAAATAACCGCCGAACTTCGCTTAAATTTCCAGAGGATTTGCGGAAAAAAATTGGCGATATCATCGAACGTGAGCGTGATAATAATCAAAATGATTCTTCCCAAAAATTATAGTTTCCAAAATCTCATGCAGATGTGCTTGCTCGAGTCACACGTTTTGTATATTTTCCGCAAAAACGCTTTTGTGTCCGATAAACCTGACCTTCATGTTAAAATGTTCCTGTTATGGACACATGGAAAATTCCCTTGTAAAATTATACAATGGTTTTACTATCGCAACATGAAGCAGCTTGACGGAAATGAGATGTTAAAAATGCTATTTTGAAAATACTCAGCAAACCAAATGGTGTCCGAAGATGATGTGGCCGCTGGTGTGTTAACTATCTGTAAAAAAATTAACCCATTGATTTTGGAAGTCGACATAGTCGTCCATATTTTGCGTCCTGATGGCTGAAGGACGGGCAGCTTCCTTCATTTCGGTAGTCTAAATTTCAAATAGCTCCCCGATATAGTGCACTGGAAATTTAGATTCTGGAAGACGATGCTTGATAAATTGGTTGAACCTTGATAAGGAGCAGAATGAGACTCTCGGTTTAAAAAAAATCAAACTATCATAGTTTAATTTTTCGGGCGAATTTAGTCGAAATCGAATGATTTTCGACCACAAGGTCGTGCCGACCGTTCGTCCTTGTGAATGACATATCCTGAATACTACCTTCTTTGCAAATATGACCAGCTGGAATCTTGAGCATCATATGTGTAATGGTCGGAAATCAGACCGTAAAAAGGCAAGATTTGTCCACTTTCTTTGTTCCAGTCAGGCTTCGTAGAGAACAAAAACACCTTAATAGGCGTATGGTCCAAAAATTATCATGGCATGGGACTTGTTTCACCTACGGTATTTCCAAGCCTTCCGACATGCGGTGAATTCTGTTACAGAACAAAACACTGATTTAAAGCTATGCTCATGGTTCACGTAGTTCCTCACTTGGCGTCAGACGAACAAGCATGATGTCGTTTCCGGATAGTTAGAATTCCGCTTCCTCAGAAATGTATTTTAATCATTCTAATTCGAGGGAATCCTGTACGAGCCAAATACGAACATGTGTTCGGTGGTACACCGGGTAATTTAACTAAACAGTGATCCGCACTACGGAGAGCACAGTGGTGGACAACCATGGAACTAAATGAGGTATTCCCCGTACAACTCGCTACCCAGTGTGTTGGCAACGTGACCTTTATCCACGTGGCTACAGATG